TACACTCCTCTGAGTCCGAATCTGTGACTTTTCTTTTCTTCCACGGTCTTGACGTTTCAAATCAATACCCGAAATACTTTATAAAATGGAATTAATGATGGAATGAAAGTAAAAAGATATTTGTTACTAAGTAAAATATTGAAACAAAAGATAAACGCTTACAAGGCGTAGTTACATTGTTTCTCGGATAGAATTTACCAATTAAAGTTCTATGATTATTATCAATATATGAGTTGAAAATTGTGAAAAATGCAGTATATGACAGTAAATCTAAACAATTGTGTAAAAGCGCATGTTAGCAGCTTAGTACGTGAAATATTGAAACAAAAGATAAACGCTTATAAGGCGCAGTTATATTGTTTCTCGAGTCAACTTGACCAATCAAAGTTCTATGATTATTATCAATATATGAGAGTTAAAAATTGTGAAAAGTGCAGAATATGACAGTAAATCTATACAATTGTGTAAAAGCGGATGTTGGTAACTTATCACGTGAAATATTGAAACCAAAGATAAAAGCAAATAGGGCGTAATTACATTATTTGTCGGTTCAAATTAGCCAATTGACGATTTATGATTACTAAAAAGATATAAATGTCCTAACTTTTTAAATAGTGTAATACACGATAATAAATATATTGTGTAGTGTACAAGTGATAGATGTGGGTTACTCAGCACGTCCAATATTCAAACAAAACATAAGCGCTTAGAAGACATTTCTTCCTTAGGTTACATGTATCAAGACGATTTCAATAATTTTTCAATATCTTTGAAGAACTTTATATAATATTAGGTTTGCCATATAAAATTGTAAAAACCTGACAATAAAAATCTATGCATTTTTTTATTAGCCAGCTATCTTGTGTCCTCCATTTTTAATTTTGAAAATCTGACTATAGTCACGAATTCAGCAACCTCAAGAAATTCAAAGTAACCATTTTTAAGCAATTAGCATTAATTTCTTAAAATTTTTGAAAAATAGTCCGCCGTAATGGATCCGCCATTTTGAATTTTGAAAATCTGAATGCAGATTCGTAATCAGCAACACCAAAAACCCATAAGTGATAAGTTTCAAGCCAATTGAGTTAATTTCCTAAAATTTTTGAAAAATAGTCCGCCATATTGGATCCGCCATTTTGAATTTTGGAAATCTGAATCCAGATTCGTAATCAGCAACCCCAAAAACCCCTAAGTGATAAGTTTCAAGCCAATTGGGTTAATTTCCTAAAATTTTTGAAAAATAGTCCGCCATATTGGATCCGCCATTTTGAATTTTGGAAATCTGAATTCAGATTCGTAATCAGCAACCCCAAAAAGCCCTAAGTGATAAGTTTCAAGTCAATTGGGTTAATTTTCTAAAATTTTGGAAAAATAGTCCGCCATATTGGATCCGCCATTTTGAATTTTGAAAATATAACGTAGGATTTGTAATCAGCAATGTCAAAAACACTTTGATTTCATTTTTTGTGAAATTAGTTTCAAGAAAACGATGGATGTCACTGAGATTATAATCATTAAAAATAGCCTTCAAAACTGTCAACTCTTTGGCAGCCATATTGGATTTTGGTTTTCGAATTTTCAAAATTTGACCCCAAATTCGGTTTCAGCGTTCAAAATACCCTAGAAAACGTATATTCAGTGCCTATCTGCATGCTTTTTAATATATTTTTTTCATTGTTTTGTAAGTACGTGTATACACGTACCTCACAGTCTGAGCCCTTTTTCGAATGTACGTCTATAGACGTACCATCACAGTCAAGGGGTTATACAGATAGGACAGTTTTAAAAATAGTGTACTTGCTACTTCGTTTACTTAGGTTTTTTTAAGTTAAATAAAATCTAAAATGTTTACAAAGTCTCGTGAGATGTAGCAACAGTGCACTAATGCCCGTGTAAAAAAATCTTCTGTGGTTGGCCTGATTCTATCTAGACCGCCTAATTTTCAGACCAGCAGCTGCTCAGAAACTCTGGCCAGCGGCTGGCCAAAAGTGTAACGCAAGAGGCGCTCAGACGCTGGCCAGACGGTCTGACCTGGGGCTGGACAGATGATCAGCATTTTCTATTAAATTTAATTGATATAACTTATAAGAACAATTCCTTATATTTCCGAACTTAAAAAAATTGCACACACAATAAAAATTAATATTATCCATAATTCTTATTAAATCAGTACACTTGCACGTCTGGCATTAAATTTCAAGAATTAAATTAAAATTTATCATCCACGGGGATCGAATAATAGTTATACTCTTTTCACTATAAAATAAGTTAGAAGGATTATTTCTTTATTATTATTTTTAATAATTTTGTAATTGAATTGTTTAATATAAAATTTTCTTTTTAAAAAAGTAAATAAAGTAAGTAAATTAAATAAGCTTAAATTAAATGAAAAAAAATTGAAAAATCTGATTAATCTCAATTGTGTTGTCATGTCAACAAATAAAAAATGTTAGTTACCTATTACTTCTGGCTAGACCTTCCAGACCAGCATCTCTAGACACAGTCCAGAATTTACAAAATAAAATTTTTTAGTTATATAGACTTTCTAGATATATAACATATAGTATACATACAAACAAAGATACTTTGGTACAAATACATATAGCAACAGTAGCGACGAAATCAGCTGAAGACTCAGGAGAGCCAAACTTGCAAAGTGAAATTTTTAATGAGAAAATACGACGTTGTCACTTTTTCACAGCTTTTTTATGTCTGTTAAAAAAATTATTTTTATATGTTTTGAATGATGTATGCATATTTTTTTAATAATATTATAATTGTATGCCACAGTGGGCTTGTACTAACTTTAACCCAAATGTACTGGCCCATCGCGGCTCTCTTCAGATATTAATTCCACATTATTTTCTGCGTAATTTGAACCTAAGATGAAAAAAATCGTTAGAGGGAATTTTGAATGTAGTCGATTTTTGTGTATTTTTAACTATTCATGGTACTTTTTTTTACTTTGAAACAGTTAAATATTAATCAATTCGATTTCTAATCATGCATAAATTCTTTCTGAAGATGGCGACTATTCAATTTAGAAGTTTCAAAATTAAAATTCAATGTTTGTTAATAATCTTGTATAAGTGTCCACGAATTGTCCACGAAGCGTACAATTCCATGTCTCTTGTGTTTTTTAAGAAATAAATTGTACATATAATGAATCCAACGTGAGAAAATAACTTTAGTGTTTAAAACAAAAGTTTTACTTTTTCACTATATCCACTTTAATCTATTAAATTAAATATTATTTTTAAAATGCAAATTAAAAAGCCAACCTGTAATGGGGAATCCTGTCCCCAGTGTCATTTACGAAACAAAAATAAATATTTTTAGCAATATACAATAATAAAAATAATAATTATAGGTATCAGTTTTTAATTGTCCAAGTTTGCAGAATTCAGAAAAACTTGGTTGTTAAAAAATATTACTTTTTTTAATCTTTTTTCGATGTTAATTCTTGTCCCCAGTTTTTTGCGCCATGAGGAAGCTTTTTAATGAAACTTTTAATCAAAACAAAACTTAGTTATACTTTTGCAGAAACAATAATTAACTCCCCAAAGTAGATTTATTATGGTAGAAACTAATTTCATAATTGTTTTTTTGCTTTTATACCTTTAAAGCTCCAATTTTATCTGGGCCCTGGCGGATTGGGAAAACCGAGTTGTAACCGAATTGGGTTACGATTCGGTTACGTTTCGGTTCATTGTGAAATATTATCGTTAATCGACGAAATATGTAGTAAATAACTATTAGGAATGGTTAATATACATTTAGAGTGCTTATTTATGCAATAATAAGAATAAATTAAGAAATAATTAATTAATAATAAGTGTTTTAAGTGTACAGTGCATGCAGTTGTTGAGTTACCATATATGTATATTACCATCATCGGCAGCTGTGATACGTCCGTTAAACCCTAGATGGCGTTAAGGATGACTTTGTGAATGAATTTCTAAAATTAAGCCCTTGAGTGTCAAATGTGTAAGTGAATATTTAAGTTTTAAAAAAATAGATCAATTTATTAAAACAACTTTTTTGATTTGTACAAATATAAAAAAAAAATTTTATAACGAACAAAAATTTTTTTAATGAGAAAAAGTTTTTTGTGTCAAAATTAATCTTTCTCATTTCATTGAGAAAAAAAAAATTTTTGAGGAAAAAAAGTTTTTTTATGTCAAAATTAATGTTTCTCATTTCATGAGAAAGATTAATTTTGGCACAAAAAAACTTTTTCTCATTAAAAAAATTTTTGTTCGTTATAAAATTTTTTTTTATATTTGTACAAGTCAAAAAAGTTGTTTTAATAAATTGATCTGTTTTTTTAAAACTTATATATTTACTTACACATTTGACACTCAAGGGCTTAATTTTAGAAATTCATTCACAAATTCATCCTTAACGCCATCTAGGGTTTAACGGGCGTATCACAGCTGCCGCTGATGGTAATATACATATATGGTAACTCAACAACTGCATGCACTGTACACTTAAAACACTTATTATTAATTAATTATATCTTAATTTATTCTTATTATTGCATAAATAAGCACTCTAAATGTATATTAACCATTCCTAATAGTTATTTACTACATATTTCGTCGATTAACGATAATATTTCACAATGAACCGAAACGTAACCGAATCGTAACCCAATTCGATTACAACTCGGTTTTCCCAATCCGCCAGGGCGGGAATCACAGAATCTTCATGGGAAAACCTTCACATATTTTATAATAAATTAACTAATTATCAATATTTTCTGTTAAATAAAGTGTAGTTGTATTAATTTTTTAGCCAGTATAAATACCGTGAATACGAAACAGACTAAAAATCGCTTAAATAAAAGCATTCTAAAAAATATTTTACATTAAGATTTTCATAAATAATATGCAATTGAAAAATAAACTGAAAATATAATCTATGTATCAATATTACCAGACTCGACATAAACGAAATCAACCGTATGTTATTTAGTTAAAATTTATTTGTTGTAGGTTAGAGCACCAAAAATTGCAATTTATACATTATGGATTATACGGAATTTAGAAGGGAGTTACAACCTACACTGTCGCGCAGTACGGTTAATTGGAAATTTATCAGAATGCAGTTGGCATGCAAAATCTTTTTGTGATCAAAAAGCTGTGGGTGTATTAACTGATATTTTACACTCAAAAACCTATACTGAAGTTCATATAATGACTGTAAGAGCTATCAGGTATTTTTAATTTACTTAAATAAATTAACATTTTTCTCAGAAAACTCACACTGAACAAGATATATTTTAAATATCTACTATTCCCTGGCGGATTCGATTTACCTAAAATCGACCCAGCTGGGTCGAATCTAAGTCGAATCTAAGTCGAATTTAGGTAATTATCAAAAAAAAAGCTTTAAATTGATGAAAATTTATAAAAATTAGTATTGTGAGGTTAAATGAACATTCATAGAGTTAATTTTTGTAAGAATTTTAATTATTAACGTGATAAATAATAAATAATTACTTGATATGTGCAAGTGGTAACTGTAGATTTTAACTCGTTGTCAGTTTTCATAATATTTTCAGAAATTAGTGTAAAATGTGTGAAAAAATAATTTATATTTAATAGAAATTGCAAATTTTATTAAATTATTTTATTATTTAACAATCACATTTCATAATAATTGCAATTTAATTAAAAAATAACAGTTTTCTTAAAAGTGACAAGAACTCTATTATACCGACCACACACGGAACAGCGGAACGCGCGCCAAGATTTGAAAAGAGTTACAAATTTTAAACATTCATTAAATAGAAAATATGCAATTTTTTTCTTTATTTATAAAAAAAACTTTAGAATTTTGTTAAAATAATAAAAATTAAGCTGATATATTTTTCTTAAATTTTTACTTATAACTTTTTAAAAAATTCTTAAATAAAAGATCAAAAAATTTAGTTAAATTTGTATTTTGCCATCATAATTTTTTAACAAAAATATAATTTGTTAGACATAAAAATAAGAAAAATTTACATTAAAACTTATTTAACAATTACATTTTTTTAACAAAATTCTTTTTTTTTTAAAAAAAAAGTTGCAGATTTTTTATTTCATATTCACAATTCTTTAATGAAATTGTTTTTTAATACAAGTTATAAAAAAATTAATCATTTATTTATACTAATGCTAATAATCACTAATTTTAAGTAATAGGATAGCTGGAAATTTGTGCTCCCTGCATGCTGCTGCCATCTAACGGCGTCTGCAACTAATATAGGGCGATAGTTAAAAGTAAAGAAATAGTGATTATTAGTATTAATATAAGTAAATTGGTATAAATAAATGATTAATTCGGCATTTCTGAGAAATTTTTTATAAAATGATTATCTTTTATGGTTAATCAAATATATTTAATTAATGAAATTAAGATAATAATGAAATAGTTGTAATTAACAATTTGAATTTTCCCGCCAGAAGATCATGTGCATTCATATTCGCGCACTTTTACCGTGTGTGGTCGGTATAATAGAGTTCTTGTCACTTTTAAGAAAACTGTTATTTTTTAATTAAATTGCAATTATTATGAAATGTGATTGTTAAATAATAAAATAATTTAATAAAATTTGCAATTTCTATTAAATATAAATTATTTTTTCACACATTTTACACTAATTTCTGAAAATATTATGAAAACTGACAACGAGTTAAAATCTACAGTTACCACTTGCACATATCAAGTAATTATTTATTATTTATCACGTTAATAATTAAAATTCTTACAAAAATTAACTCTATGAATGTTCATTTAACCTCACAATACTAATTTTTATAAATTTTCATCAATTTAAAGCTTTTTTTTGATAATTACCTAAATTCGACTTAGATTCGACTTAGATTCGACCCAGCTGGGTCGATTTTAGGTAAATCGAATCCGCCAGGGTTGTTGATAATTAATTGAAGAGAATTTATTCTACGTCATTTTATTACGATTATTCATAAAAAATTATGACCATTGTGTCGAATATAATTTTTTTCTTACAAGTCTACATTTTTGCATTTTTCGTATTAATAACAGGGACCTTCACAGAATCAAAACAAAATTCAAAAACACTTTTGTTTTGATTCTGATCAGGATATCGGAATCAGAAGTTAATTTTTTTTTAGTTTTGATTCCGAAATCAGAATCAAAAGTCAACTCTACTTAATTTTGATTCCAAAATCAGAATCAAAAGTCAGCTATATTCAGTTTTGATTCTGCTATCCTGAATCGTTCAAATAATTATAATTTTTAATGATTTTAGTTTAAATGAATTTTTGTGAGTCACTTGGCATAACAATTTTCTTTTGTCAATATCTCCTTAATTTTACAATATTTATCCTAAATTCTTTCAATTTGTGACTCGTAGTAACGTAAATATACTTAAGAATTAGTTTGCTGATTTTATAAAATTGTTTTAAAATAATTTTTTGTAAAAGCTTGCTTGACTTCAATTCGCGGCACATTCCTCCTTAAATAATTTAAAATTTTACATATGGCTATTTTGGAACACAAAACGTGACTTTAAAAATTAGCAAGATGGTACAATTTGTATATCTTGCAAAGTGGAATTCATGGAGGTTATTGTTTCGATTCATTATTTTTATCTACTATTAGTATTTTTCCATTTTTACAGATAAACTGTTGAGATTAATTGAGATACAATGAATTGTTCGATTCTTCGATCGCTAAATTCATTTTCTTTCAATTAACATAATACATATTATATTTTTTGTTTTGTTATAAATTTTGTATTTGTTATATTTTCAGAAATATTTGGAACTCATACAAGAAAAGTCGAATTGAAATTCTGCAATCAGGTGCAATATCGAAAATTGTCACTTTGTTTGTTAGAGCTAGTAAAAAGTCTGAATCTAAATATGTTGGATTAAAAAAAGCATGTTTAAAAGCTATGTGTTCATTTGCAGAGAGTTTAGATTTTGAGTGTGCTATTCAAATGCGTGGTGACATTGATGAAGAAGGTTTTAAGTGTATAATGGAAATTTGTGAAGAGAAAAACGATTTAGCCTTAAAATGTTTATTCAATTTGTCTCTAATAGCAAAATGTCGACCGATATTAGGAAGCTGTGGTGTAATTGAAAGGTTATTATTATTAATAACTAATAATGAGAAACTGTCCTGGCAAATTTTAGCTATTTTATGTCATTTTTGTCGTGAAGCTGTAAATCGTGTACAAATTAAATCAGTCGCAGGTCTAGAAGTAAGTGTTTTATTATAATATATTTTAATATTTATTTGTTATTTTACTTTATATTGTCTTCATTGGGGCAGGTGAATTTTCCATAAAAATCTTTTTTTAGAACTTTCATTTTATAGAATTTTATTAGATATAATTATTTTTTAGACGAATTATCATTTTTTGAATTAACATTTGACAGAATTTCTTTTAAAACGAATTTTTACTTAACAAATTTTTTTTGGTACCGGAGTTTTATTTTACAAAATTTCTCTAAACTCAATTTTTTATTTAAAAAAATCAAATTTATCCAAATATTAATTCAACAGAATTTTAAGTGATTCGAATTTTTAAATGCCAGAATTTCTAATTCATGGAATTTTTGTTTTTACGAATTTTTATTGTTACGTATTGTTATTTAATAGAATTCTTTTTGTATAAGAAATTCATGCGAATCATTTAAAGTCCTCAAAGAAATTTATTAAATTCTTGAAAAGCATTAGAGATATATTGTGGTCGAAAAAAACTATTTAATGGAAATTTACAGAACAAAAAAATTAGACAACTATGTATTAATTTTTTTGTATATCAATTAAATAGGTATAATTTTGGATGAATTTATTTAAAAACAATTTTTATCGTCTATAAAATATATTTTATTTATTATTGTCGATTTTATTAAATTTGACACTCTCATAAGTTCAATTTTTAGATAGGTTTTTAAGAAGATCAAATATTGTCAATTATTTTAGGAATTTATCATCTTGAATAATAAATAACTTGTATTTAATATTTTTTTTGCTATTTAACCCTTTGAAAACCAGTGTTACTTTCAGGCAATATGGACAATTTTTTGATAACTCATGCACAACTTTATTGATTTTTAAAACTAAATAACTTTCCCTGAAAAATTTATCTACAAATCAAAAATTGCATTTTTTAAAGAAATAATTTCAATGCCTCTCGTTGTTAAAATGCATTTTCAGTTGACAATTCAATATAAATCTGTCTTAAAAATAAGTGCAAGATAAAGTTAGCCTGCAAATTTATACAAGATAATAATTTTTAATCATTCTTCAATTCAAGATAATGCTATTTTAAAATTTAATGCTACAAAATGAGAACTATAAATTATATATAAATGTTGCCTTTTTAATCGAATATTTTATATTTAAGAATATAAATATCATGTCCGTTTGATGAAAATTTATTATAAAGGTCATACATAATTACATAATTGAAAAATAAGACTTTTAAAATCAACATTTTTTTATGTTCACTGCTTTATCTTAATATGATTAAAATTGAATTAAAATAGCAATCTGAAGAAAGGTACCTTAAAAGCAAACGAATTGTAAGTTATGTTTACAATAGTTTTACCATGATTAAAAATTTATTTTTATTTGTATAAAATTAAAATCAGTTTTTATTGAACATTTTGGATGTAATAAAGATTTAAATAACAATAATTTGTATTGACAGTTGATCCACTTTGAGTATTTTCATTTAAAAATTTCAAAACATAACCTATAATTTTATATTTTTCAAGTCCCTTTCTTCAAAGCCCGCCACATATTAATATATTATTTTAAATAAACTAATAATTTGTTAATTAATAATATTAAAAAATACTTCTGGAAAGAATCATATTGAACGCTACACTGCCGCCCCAACAAGAATAACCGTATCTGCATTTAGGATGAGTCACCTACTTGCCACTGCCACTGCCACCAATAAGTGACTTATCCAAAATGTAGTTACTGCTACTCTTGTTGGGACGGCAGTACAGCTTCAGTTGTCATTTTCTTGCATTGGATTTTGAGAAGGCAGTATCTTAAATTAAAGACTGATGAAGAATTGTCTTGCACAAGAGGGCTAACTTCATCTCGCACTTGTTTTTGAGATAGGTTAGAATGATTAAAATTTAAATATTAGATAGAAATGATTAAAACTTAAATATTAGATAGAAATGATTAAAACTTAAATTAATTACAAAATTATAAATATGAAATGAGAAATTGAGAGAAATATTTTTAATTGTAGAGTAAAAATTCCTGAAGTGGATCACCCAAATTAAAGATGTACTGTATTTGCTTGGAAATATAGAAAATTAAAACATTATTATGAGTTGAAAAACTGCCTCAAAGGATTTTTCAAACAAATTAAATTTCTCAAAGTTATAAACAATTGAAGTATTTTGTAGTCTTAAGTTAAAAAATGAATATCTTAGAACTAAGTGAACGGATCTTTATAAAAATTGGTATACTTACACAAAAAATGATACAGTTTTAGTTGAAAATTTGAAAATTTTTTATTATTAATAATTGTTATTGTAAAATTAATTGATTATTTAAAAAGTAAACTGTGTTCTCTTTGTCGTAGAAAGTTGATCCAAAGTTTATTGGAAAGGGAATTTCATAAGGATTCGAAAACCGTTTTAAAATTTCGTGGATCGCAATTAGCAAAAAAAGTTATCGCGTTTTTTGTGCGGCGCTGCGAGTCTCTAGCGCTAGCACGCAGAATGTATTTTGCTCAAAAAGTATGGAAACTTGCAAATATCTCGAAAAGTACGAATTTTTATAAAAAATGTTCAAGACATAAGTTGTTCCTAACAAAAAGATCTACATTTGTAAACCCAAAAAATTGGTTGTTTTTGTTAAATAAAATCCTCTAATTTTCAGAATCAAATTCGTTATCCCTATGAAATTATGTGTTTTAACGTGTGAAGTATATGACCAAAATATTGGGCTGAGGTAAAAATGCACAAAATATTAGGCCGAATCCTAGACATTGGACTTAACATTTTTCTTCAAATAAGTGAATTTAAAAAATCACGGCTTATGAGATTTTTGGCGTAATATATTAGTAATTCTATGCTAATTTTCGAATTAGGTCTAGAGCCCAATGTAAAATTCCTCATATTTCCAAGCAAATATAGTACATCTTTAATTTGGGTGATCCACTTCAGGAATTTTTACTCTGTAAAAAAAATCTTAAAATTTAAGATTTTTTATCTACAATTGAAAAAAATTCCTCCTTTTAAATGAAAATCTGACGTATCCTTTTTTCACTAAACCAACGAACTGAAAAAGTATTTTCCCGACGGGAGGCTTCGATTTAGTCGTCAAAGGGTTAAGACTCTAAAGTGTATTTAATTCTGCGTCGAATGAGATTCTGTTTTAAATAGAATTTGTGAAAAATAGGTTTATGTAATTTATATTTATTATATATGTTTCGGTCAATGGCGATTATTGGGCATTGTCGACAATGAAAAAAACTTTTATGAAACCTGTCAACATCATATTATTTAAATTTTACACAAGTTTTGAAACATCAAACAACATTTTATTGATATAAATAAAATATTTTTGTTTTATATAAAATGAACTCAAAAGTTTGTCAGATTTTGCGTATCTCTTACCGTTTTTGAGATATTAATAATTTTTTTTTCAAATTTTGACCCCATATGGGATCCTATATGGAGTCCTATATCGACATTGATGAGATTCTTCTTGCGAGATGTCCTTAGGAGATTTCGTATAGAATCTCATATAAGAAACCTTAAGCGATCTTATAAAGAATCTCATGTGGGATCACGTACAATATCAATAACGTCGTTAACATTCGATAGTTGATCATAAACTAGTCAATACAATTTTCCTTAACACTACAAAAGCATTGATTGTCGAAAGTTTATTGTGAAGGAAATAATATAAAGTTTGTTATATGCTACAGCATTTTTGACATTGTCCAAGATAGACCGGACATTGTCGTCAATGCTCAGAAAAGCTGAATAACATGATTATTTGTAGACATGGACCGAATTTGGCGGGCAATGTCGACAATACCCAAACTAGCTGGGCATTGTCGACTTTGCCCGTTTATTGTCGACAATGCCCAATAATCGGCATTGACCGTAACATATATATTATACATTTATAATAATTCATCTATATTTATTATTTATATTCATTTATTTTATGTAATTTATATTTTGTCATAGATAATGATGGCTTTATTGAAAAACAAGGAAAATGAAAAGTTTCATTCAATGATATTAGATGCACTTGTGTTATTTGAGTATGATGAAGACGGTATTGCAATTATGGTCAAAAATGGACTTTTAGATGTACTTATCGAAAAGCTTAAATTAATGATTACAGCTGAGGAGTTACAATTTAAAAATGAAAAGGGGACACCTAAGAAACGTTCAGGGGATTCTTCTCCTTATGAAAGGAGTGATTTTAAGTATAACAGAACCTCATTGGGAAGGTTAGATATAGCAAAAATGTATTATTTTTTAGGAATTATTTATAAATCACGTTATCCAAATTTAAGAAATTATTTCCATTTGATTTGAAAGATTTCTTTTTAATCAATAAAATAATTTATAAATGATCAAAGGAGATCAGTAAAATAAATTAAATTAATTTAAGTAATGACTAATTACTGTGGTAAAAAAAAATTTTTTTTGAATTTTTTTAACAATGCATATATAGTAGCTTAAAGAGGTTGGCAAATCGTAGCCAACGGAACGTCACTTTTAAGGAAAAATTATCGAAATTATTCTTCTTTTGATTATTTACAATTTAATTTTATTAATTAAACGTGGAAGGAAATAAATGTCACTTTCCTTACTTTAATTTTGCATATATACAATCTAAATCTATTCCTTTTAGATTAATTAAACTTTATTTTCTTATGAATGAAATTAAAAAACTATCAATTACACTTTTCAAAAATATAAAACTTTCAATTTCCAACCTTTTTGTTGATTCTTTTTAATGATTATTAGTCTCCTTGGAATATGATTAGCCTGTTATTATTTTATTTAAACCAAATTACATTTTAATGTAAAAACATTCATAAAAACATATGTGAAATGATTTACTGCATTAGATAATGATCATTGTAAGTCATTTTTAAATGTAGAACTGAAAGTATAAATTAGAAACGTTAAATTTTGTACAGTTTTTTTGTTAAATAAAAACAATAATAATTTGGTTTTTAATGGGTTAAACTACTCTAGAACGTCAAAAAGAGGCCTAATTTTAATAATTTTTTTCAAGAAAAGTTTAAAAGGCACTAAATTATTTATAACTTTAAAAATATACAACTTAAAAAAAATCCGTGCGTCTTTCTCTAAATAATGTTATTAAGAAGCTACAGTTAAATTTTTATGTAAATCGGTTAAGATTTGTGAAAGTTATGTTTCCGGTCATTTCAAGAAAAGTAGTTTTGAGAAAAAAGCGTTTGAAGTTTTACTTATGATTTGTTGGATATACCTTTAATCTGCAATGCCTGCGCCATATAATCAGTGGAATTTTAATGATTAGTTGTGAAAAAAACTGAAAATTAGTTAAATTTTATTGATGGAGCTAGCCAAGTGTTAAAATGAAGTGGAAATGTCACTGCATTAAATTATATAGGAAAATAATTCTGCAGTACAGGACCACGATCAGGATCAAATTCAAGCACTTTAAAAGTGTTTCTTCTTATAATTGATATTATTTCTTATTTTGTATAGGTACCCTTAGACACCTTTTAAAAGGAAAAAATTTTTTTTAATTTTTTGAAAATTCTAGAGTGGCTTTACTCTTTAATGAAACAGTAGCGAGCAAAATTTACAATAATTTATTAAAAAATGCAACAAAATCGGTTACAAATTATAATAGAGTGTGATTTTTGTCCCTGAATATATGGCTTCATTGTGCATGCGGCAGTGTACTTTGTACGAATTTTTATATTGTACTCTTTAAAATATTGTTCCTTACAGGTTTAGTCTGGATTATCATTATGATAATTGGAGTCCGAGTAGTGGTGCTAGTACTTCTTCCTCACCGCCTAGTACACCACCTTTACCTCTTTATGATTGTAAAGATTTTGATGAAAGTGCAGAAGAAAATTATAGCCCAGTTTGTAGTGATGATGAATGGACTGAAAAAGAACATAGCCTAAATTTTTCAGAGAAAGTTAAGTCGTCAGCTTCTAAACATGTGAAGAAATCGACTTTAACTTTATTAAGCATATTAAGTGACTCCAATGAGCCTATGGAAAAATTAGCCGATCCATTAGTAATAACATCACTATCAACTTATATCAAACTTACCAAAGATCCAAAAGCATTACAAATTTTAACAAAAATTGCTAAGTAAATTAAATTTTTTATTAAAAAACTATCTACTTGTTTTTCTATAAAATTTTAATAGTTCTAAGCTAATAATTTTATCATTTTAGGAATAGTGCATATTTAGTGCCTTTGATACAACAAGGTTTCGTTTTTGAAGCTCAAACAATTTATGGTTGTAAGCAGTGTTTACAACAATTATCAGCGTTAGCTGAAACTGGTGGTGCAGTTGGACAATTATCATCAATACTTTTATGTGGCACAGAGACAAATAAAAACATGACAGCAATTTCTATACCATTTCTTATCAAAGCTAAGAAAAATTTAAAATATTTACTAAGCAAACATAGTGGTATACTTTTAATATTTCGCATTCTTGAGAATCCAAAGCATATTTTACATGATAATGCGATATTATCAATTAGTCAATTGGCAAAATTACTGGACATTCAACCACATGCTATTGACTGGAGTGAATTATTGATGGAAACTAATATTGAACCATTAGATAGAGAAAAATGTGATAATCTTTCAAATTCTTCCTTAGTTACATTTATACTTGATGATGGTACAACAGTTGATGCATGCAGGTAATAATTAGATCATTATATTGACAATTGAGGTTTTACAACTGATTATAACAAAAATGGATTTTATTAATTACTCAGGTCTGCAAGGTTTTTTTTAATATCAGAGTAGTTTCCAATCTATTTTTGTGTACTGAATACGATACCGGGTTCCAAAATTGCGTATCACGTCAGAATTTTGAGTAAAGTGGGGGTAAAGTCTCCAAAAACCGTGTTTTTTTAGTGTTTTCAGTATTTTTTTCTCCTTAACCTGACGTGCAAGCGACTTCTGTATAGGCTTAAATTAAAGCTTAAAACGTACACTTCAAGACTTTTTAAGATAAAAAAAATTTTGAAAAAAATTGGGATAATGACCCCAATAAACTTTTTGGGTGTCTTGTACCTATTTTTTTTTTAAATTTCCATTTTTTTATCTTGAGCATATGGATCTTAAAGTATAATTTTTAAGCTATAATTTAAGCCTAACCTGCACGGAAAAACAATTTATATTAGAAAACAATAAAACTGGAAGTATAATTTAAAATTGTACTACACTGAAAGAAATTTTTCGTTATTACTGCCATAATTCTTGCTGTTTCTTTCATATCGTATAACTGAATTAACATGGAACTGTTACTGCCATACAGTTTGGGTAATCCAACCAAACGAATAGTACTTCCAAAGAGCAAGATGTCTGAATCAGAATTCCAATGGCTAATATAACCTAACTTACCTGCCATTTTGACAGACTGTATAACCAATTCAACCAGAATTCTTAACCATAAATTTATGGCTGAAATTTCGATAGCATTTCTTTCAGTGTATAGTAAAGTGCGGCTATTCATGGACCATATTGTAAATCACTATAGTCACTGTTAATTCTGTAAATCAATTCTCAATATTTCTAAAATTGACATATGCAGTATTCATAATCAAAAAAATTTATAGTAATATTTAACAGTTAGTTCGAAAAAGTGAATTTTAAAATCGGCACTGTTAAAAATTGGTGAGTCATGCATAAAAGAATAGAAATGGGGAAATGAAGAAGGTAAGAACGACATATTTATTGAGGTTTTGAGTGAGATGGAAAACTCGAATACATTGAGACACACATTCATAAATTCATCCCTACCTATCAGCCTAACTTAAAACTACCTATACACTTAAATACGCATTATACATATTTAAACGCTCGCTCGCAACTACGCTGCGAGGTGAAGGCAGAATTTTCCTTATATGCAAAACGGCAGAATTCTTCTGCGCTTGTGAGAAACGATGATTATATAATTGTCTCACTAAAACAGTTATATTTTAAAATAATATGTAATGAACTATAATTAATTAGTTGTACTTTTGCAATGATCAATTTTAGTATGAAGTTATATTTAAAATATTAATTTAAATAATAATAAAAATTAAATTAAAATTAATAAACAATAAATTAAATACATTACAAGAAAGGAAAGAAATGAAATGCCATTATTTAAACCCAAGTTTTATTTATATAAGGGTGATTCTCTCAAAAAGGACAAATCTCGCTTTCACGGTAATTTGTTCAAAAATAATAAAATTGATTGAAATTATTAAACATTCTGTTAGCCATACGTTAAGATTTAACACGTGAATAGCCTCCTTTTCATATCGAGTATGTCAAAATGTATTACCATTTTTATTGTCTTTTAATATAAAATGTTTTTCCGTGTTGCCTTTCCCTACTGAAAATCCCTGTATAAGATCTTGTACAATTTCCTGTACAGGATCAGCAACTGAACTTGTACAAGTTCTGACCAGTTCCTGTACAGGAAAATGCATACGAATTTGGAACAAGTTCATGTGTGAGATCTTGTACAAGATCTGGTGCAAGATCATGTACAAGAAAGATACTTGTAAAAGAAAATGTACATGATCTTGTACAATTTCATGTATAAGTACTTGTACATGAACACGTTCATGTTCTTGCACATGTATAGTTGTAAATTTTTTTTTTTTTAATAAAATTTGAGATTTTGATAATTTTTAACCACTAAGATTCGTAACTCATGCATGCTAAAAACTATTGTGCAGCTGTGAAGGTTAAAGTAAACTATTGCGCAGCCTTTGAAGTTTTTAATTTTTAGTAAAGAAAAACATGAATTAACATGTGCAAGAACATGAACGTGTTCATGTACAAGTACTTATACATGAAATTGTACAAGATCATGTACATTTTCTTTTACAAGTATCTTTCTTGTACAAGATCTTGCACCAGATTTTCCTGTACAGGAACTGGTCAGAACTTGTACAAGTTCAGTTGCTGATCCTGTACAGGAAATTGTACAAGATCTTGTACAGGGATTTTCAGTAGGTTCCCCTGGGGGTAAGATGGGATACCCTAAGAAGCAAGCTGGGTTTTACAAAAAAATAAACCTATTATTGCTTGCAATCTTCGAAAGTAAAGGTTGCATCTTCACCTTTCTTTCCAAAGTAATTAGGCGGACAGAAAATATTTTTGCTGCTAAGTTAAAACACATTTTTCGCCCACCGCATTTTTCATGTTCTTTACTTGTCCTTCTTTTATAATGTTTTTACCCTTCTACAACAAAAATAAAACATTTATTGGGATGTCCGTTACTGTGAAGCGCTCTCTGTTGAAAACATTTTTAACCCTTGAAAGTAGAATGTTTGTCAATTTTTGTCCAGTTTAAACCAATCAGAGTAACTTTCAGACATAGTGGTGAAAAATGGTACTACTGAACGTAGGATAATATGCTAAGCCACGCCCCCAGCGGATATCCCAATACAAAAATATCCAACGCTTGTGCTTACAATAATACGCTTTTAATTATATGATAAAATAAACTCCATACCCCATCTTGCCCCACCCCATGCGAAATGACACTAAAAAGCTAACCAATAGAATGTATGATTCAACAAACAATTAAACAAATGTTCACCTGCTAGAGTAGTCAGTGAGACTTATGAAAAACAAAAAATGTCATATAAAATGCTGTTATTTATCAAATAAACACGTTTTGAACAAAATAGATGTTAGAAGAAAATCACCGAAAACCGTTTTTTTATGAATCAAAGAAAAACGTGGTATAATCGTTCAAAGTTTTTACCACATGAAAACTGTCATATTGTTTTCACATTATGCGCAAAATAACAATAATTGGTCCATTAATGTGTTAATAAAGGCAACTATCCCGTCTTGCCCCCATTTCCCCTATTTTTACGTGAAAATTACAGGGAAAATATAGCGAGCACGATTGAAGTTGATGATCATAGTGTTGTTAAGGAAAACTGATAATTTTAGAAAAAATCATGTGTTTTCCACCAAAAACAAAGAAAATTTTATTTAAATTCTTTTTTTTAAATAAATTTTTTTGAAAAAAGCGGACTTTGACCCCCTCAAATTTTTGGATTGTTGCTGTGTATAACAAATATAATACAAGTAAAAAGTGTTTTAATAGGTTTATAAGTACTATACTATCATGTTATCAAAACTTAGAAATTACACAGGGAATTAAATTCGGGTCAACTTTTGGACCCGGAAAAGTAAGAATGTTTCTTAACGTATTTTTTTACGCTGAATTAGAAACTATCGTTAGATTTTCTCTAACACGCAAAATTTCAAAATGTTGGAAATAATAGTAAACAAGTTGTAAATTTAGATGCTTATTACATGAACATTTTGCTTCCCCTTTACAATCAGCAAAATAATTTGCTTTCTCGTGGAGAAAGCATTAACATTGAAATAAACATGAGTAAGAATTTCTGAAACGTGCCACCTAAACCTGAAAAAATTGATTTTTTGTTGAAATGTTATTTTTCTTATAGTATTTTATATGCACAATCACCCCCTAAAACGATTTTGCAAAAAAAAAAATTTTGTTATTAACAATTTAATATTTTTGACCCATTTTTAAAAAAATTAATTTAAAAGAAATTTATTGATCGATTTTAGTGATCTAAACAGCATTCTTCTTGTCTTGAACCATAGTTATATTGATATTTTTTTGGTGAAAAAATATTGATTTTTATTGGAAAAAAAATTGTTACTTATAAACAAATAGTAAAAGACCATGAAAACAATCGAATTTCAAAATGAAAAAAATAGCTTCATATACTTGAAACCCTTCTGAATAATATTCCGTCGAGAAAAAAATGGCATGCATTCGACAATTGGTTTATTTAAACATTTTTGACAGCGCGCATGGCGCATGTAGTACGAATTTCTTAATGAAACAAAAACGAAAATACGTGTTATTATATTCTACGAGTGACTAAAAAAAGAAAAAAGTTGTTTTGATTAAAAATAAAAAAGTTATTAATTTTTTAATGAGACATTGCAAAATTCATGAACTGCAATTTTCACCCTGTGAGGAATTTTCGCAAATTTTCACCAGCAACAAACTTCCAGTGAGAAAGTTGTTCATTAAGGTCCAAAGAAGTTTTCTGGAAAGTTACAATGCAATTGAACAATTAATAACAAAATGGTGAATGTTTAAACTTTAAAGTTGCGCGAGCGGCTGAACGTTTGGCGTGCGTTTGCTACGTAATAATTTAATTTCTTATTAAGAAAAAAAGATGCAAAAAAAAGTTAAAGGAAAAAAAGATGCGCCTTTTAATTTTCTATAAGGTAATATATTTAAAAAATTAAAATTTTGAATTTCAATTTTAATGATATTTTTGTACGCTGACTGGCTTCCGAGCGTCCGGCCCGAGCTCGCGACCGGTTGTTCGATTGGGTGCCTCAATTGTCGAATGCGTGCCATTTTTCTCTCGACGGAATATTATTCAGAAGGGTTTCAAGTATATGAAGCTATTTTTTTCATTTTGAAATTCGATTGTTTTCATGGTTTTTTACTATTTGTTTATAAGTAACAATTTTTTTTCCAATAAAAATCAATATTTTTTCACCAAAAAAATATCAATATAACTATGGTTCAAGACAAGAAGAATGCCGTTTAGATCACTAAAATCGATCAATAAATTTCTTTTAAATTAATTTTTTTAAAAATGGGTCAAAAATATTAAATTATTAATTTAATACAACAAAAAAATTTTTTTTGCAAAATCGTTTTAGGGGGTGATTGCACATATAAAATACTTTAAGAAATATAACATTTCAACAAAAAATCAATTTTTTCAGGTTTAGGTGGCACGTTTCAGAAATTCTTACTCACATACATGAATAATATAATAATTATAAACATTTGAGAATACAAAATTTTTTCAGCTAAAATGTGAATTTTGGATTTTTTAACTTTCATTATTTCTTCAAAAAAACAAATCTATACTTTATATATAGGGTCAGTTGGGTAAATGGGGACAGGGGGTAAATGGAGACAAGAGTTTTTGGAGCTTAATTAACAGTTTTAAAATTAAGTTTAACGTCAATATTTTAACCTCAGATTACCTACAAGAGATTTTGAGTATTGACAAGCTTTAATCTTGACAATTGGCAGCAAGATAATTCAAGTTATCGCTCAATGCATAAAAGTCAAACAGTTTCAGTATTTTGTCTCGCATTTCAAAGAAAACAAACTTAAAAATCATACCAAATTTTTTTCTTATTGCTTATGACTTCCATAACAGAAATTCACTTGAATTTTTTCTTTTCGTTAATTTGGTTAATAATAACAAGCTGTCCCCATTTACCCTGAGTTTTCAAATTTTTGGGGTAAATGGAGACAGTCAGTTTCATGCGTTTAAAGCTTATCTAAATTTTTTTCTGCTGCATAAAATTAATCCTGGTAATGTAAATAACAACTTAAAAAATATAAACCCGCAAATATTACCTTTTAAAGTAAGAAAATAACATAATTTGTGAAAAATAGCGATTTTGTCCCCATTTACCTCAACTGACCCTGCCAATCGATTCGTCTTGAATCGTCAGGATCTCATATAACATGTTTCTATATATAGAAAAATTTGTTTTCGACATTTTGAAAATTTTTATAAACGAAAGGACTACAAAACTTCCTCCACGAGAAAGCAAAACGAAATAAATATTAAACTTGTTATGAAAAATAATAATTAAACAACAAGTTAAGAACTAATTTACTTTTGATTGCAGAGAAACTCTTTGTCAGAAGTCGGAATGTTTTGCTGCTATGTTAAATGGTAAATTTCTTGAAGCTGGAAAGAAAACAATGTTATTAAAGGATACCTCAAAAGAAAGTTTAAATATTCTTTTGCTTGCTGCAAATGGTGATACATTTCAAAATGAAACTATTGAAGAACTTCTGGATGCTGTTTTATTGGCTAATAAATATTTAATGCCCGATGTTTTGGAAATATTGATTAAAATCTCAATATCCAGATTAAATTATAATAATTTTAGTCGCGTATGGAATTGGACACGGCATCATTCACCACATTTTCATGTTTGGACGCATTTGAAAACTTTTTGTTTAGAAAGTTTTTTAACATCACGAATGACCAGATCAGAACGCCTTCAAGCATTCCGAAATTTTTCAGCATGCAAAGATTTTAAGATATTCTTGGTAGAGGTTAAAGAAATGTTAATCTCTAGTCTCTATCTACCGTAAATAGACTGTTTTTTAAAAATATTATTTAAATTTTAATTGTATATATGTAATAAATAGTAATTGTTTATGAGACAACTAATTTTAAAATATATTTCTACTTCAATTTTTATTATATAATTTTGTTAAGTAATTTCTATCTCGAGTAATTAATTATGTAAAAAAATGTTCAAAGTATAATAAATTTTTACAATACATGTATAATAAAGCGTGGTTTTTAAATTGCATGTCGAGATATAACTTTTTAATACAACAAATTTCAACTATTGGCATATTCTTTTCTCGTTAAGAACTAACTTTTTATGTGGTACCCGTGATTAGGGTGGCCTAAAAATACACAAGAAAATTAATTTTTTAGAATTTTCTTGCTACCGTCCCCATAGAATTGATCCAAATGGAAAAAAAGAGACCTCTATTTTTTATATTAAAATCGGTTAATATTTAATGGTGCCGCCAGGCCCTTGGAGTTTCCCATGTGTTATATTTGGGAAAAAGCTGCTTTTTCGTAAAATTGCAATAATTTTAAATTATTGAAAATATTTATAAACACAATACTAACAGTTTAATTTGTATGCTTGGCGATTTTAATCTACCTTACATTAATTGGAATTTCGGTAGTGATGTTCATTTATGTGATTCTTATTTACCTTATCAGCAAAACTTAATAGCAACATTACTATTTCATACATTAGACTATACGGCTCTAATTCAAATTAATAACAATATTAACTCAATTGGTTTAATTTTAGATTCAGTTTTTTTTAACTTTGATTGTTTTTCCATTAATTTATTACATGATTGATTACCAATTTTGTTTATCATCCGCACTTTTTAATTAATATCTCAGTTGACAAGCATAACATTAATATTCCTCGTCCACGTCAAATAGTATTATCTATGATTTTAAAAATGCTAATAATGCTGGAATAGTATCTTTACTTAATGTCACAGATTGAAGCCAGTTATTATAAATTCCAATATTATAGATGAGGATGTTGGTCATTTGTATAATTATTTGTATAATATCTTTGATACATTTATACCAATGAAATTTGTAAAAACATCCCACTTTCCTTCTTAGTATACAGGAGAGTTGAAGAGATTAATACTACCAAAAAGAATTGCCTATAAATATTGTGTTAAAAACAAATCTGATTATAATTATTATAACGAAATTATTAGATTTTAATTTAGTAAATCAATACCCCTTTTTATGTTATAAAAAGAATGACCCCAAACGTGAAAAATGTCAGACGCCATTTAATTTTTGGATGGAATTGGCAAACCAGGAAAACCACAAATTTTCACAAAATAACCCCAAAACTCATTATATCAACAATCAATCTCAGAGGAGATTCTGTCGAGAACACAAGTCGAGAAAAAGGAACACGATCCTTGAGACACGACAATAACAAAATTCTCTCCTTGAGATTTACACTAAAAATAAAGAGACACACCCAAACTCACTTTTTCTACTTTTATTACTTTATTTTTAGTTCTCTTTTACACTTGACATCAACACGCTGTTCTACCAGAACTCAGTCTGTCGCCATATTGATTCGATTCATCGATCCCCTTTTCCTTCTGCTCTACTCGTTCAAAAAAAGGCCACCGTGATGACGCCATTTCCTGGACTGATGCTCTCGCTTATCCCCAAATCGCACACGGCGCGAAAATCAACCCCAACCCAACAGCATAATGTGACGAACTACTTCGTCAGATTATAAAGAGTTTACCAAGCTGCGATCTGAATGTAAAATTTTATCTTCAGCTTCTTATAATAAGTATATTTCTAACACTGAAAATTCAATTACTAATAATCCTAAAATTTTTTGGAATTTTCTCAATTCAACTCGACGTAATCAATCAATACCTAATCATATGTATTTGAGAGATGAAGTTGGTATGTGTATCCAACCTTTTTGCAAAGCATTTTAAATCAGTTTATGTTATATTTCCACCACAATCATCTGATTTATATTCTAATGATAGTGTTGAGGTGAACTTACAATCCATAACGATTTCAAGAAATGATATTTAAAAAAAAATAAAAAATTTGGATATTAATAAAGGTCCAGGACCAGATAAAATTCTTTTTTCTCTTATTAAGTCATGTGGTTATTCTTTTATAGAGCCTTTGTTCATATTATTTAATAAATTATTGCATATTTGTATATTTCCAATTGAATGGAAGAGGGATATAATAACACTAGTTTATAAGTCTGATGATAGATATAATGTACAAATTTACAGACCAATCACATGGTTAAGTGCTATATCAAAATTATTTGAAAGTTTAATATTCGATTCACTATATGCTGCTGTGTCAAATATTATTATTGAGGAACAACGTGGATTTGTAAAGGGACGATTGACATTGACAAAACTAGGGGTGTTTACAAATTTTATTGCTGTTAACCTTGAACTAGGTTATCGAATAGATGTAATTTATGCGGATTTATCCAATGCATTTGATAGAGTTGATTATTATCGTATATTGCTAGGTAAACTTAAATCCATGGGCTTGTCTGTTGATCTGGTCTCTTTTTTCAATAGCTATCTTTCTGACAAGTGTCAAGTTTTTCGAATAAATCATGGATATTTAGACCCTTTTTTTGCTATCTCTGGGGTTCCCCAAGGATCTTATTTTGGATCACTACTTTCTATATTATGTATGAATGATATAAATTCTGTTTTCACGCACTCTTCTTTTCTTTTGTATGCAGATGACCTTAAATGCTACAAGGTCGTAGGTTTTGCCAATCCTTGCCAAGACTATTCATCTCTTTAAGGAGATCTTAGTTGGTTATCAGATTGATGTGACCTTAATCACATGTTTATTAATATTAATAAAAGTTACGTTATTTCTTTTTCTAAAATGGCAACATTGTTGTACTAATACTCAATTGGTAATGATGAATTACCTAGGGTAAATAGAGTGCGAGACTTAGGCATACTTTTTTGTAGTGCTTATTCTTTTAATGAACATATTTCTCAAGTGGTCTCAAGATTCCTAAGATTTGCAGCAAGACAACTTAATATTCCTTTCGACACACACGCCCATGGAATTAACTTAAGTTAATGGAGTTAACTTGTGTTCAACATTAAACATCCCCTTGGTTTTGTCAAGGTTTCTATATGCAGACTTAAGTTTTCAATACAGACTTTTGAATGGATTCATTCAATGTCCTCCTCTTCTTTCAATGATAATTTGGCTGCTCCAGTAAGATTTACAAGAAATTACCTACCTTTTTCAGTTACATTTCACATAACTTATTATGGAAATAACACTTTAATAACTGTCTTAGTAGAGAAGCTAACTCAATACGTATATTTATACGTATTATTTATACGTATAATTCTTGTTTCAAATTCGTATGTCTTATTATACGTATAATAGTACGTATTATTATACGTATATTTATACGTATTATTATACGTATAATTATACGTGTTTTTTTTCAATAGGGTCACCTCAGATTAATACTAAATATTAACTAAAAAGCGTCAACCTAGTTATATTTATATTTACAACATTTATAATATATCTGTATTCAAATTATTACATATAATAATCGTGAATATCTTTCGTTCATTCTGTCCACACCTGAAGTTAGTATTTGTTATAGGTCTTTTGTTTTTTCTAAATGTGTTGTTTGACATTATTTTGTGTTGGTTAAAATTTTTCAATGTTTTGAAATTGTCATTTGTGCGGTCGTATTTTAATTATTAAAAATTATAAAATTGTTAGAATCGTGCAAAAAAATTGTGAGGATTGTGAGAAAAATTGATTCGATTGCTGTTAGAGTAAGCTGCATAAGTTGATAATTTTATCAAATTTCAAAAATTTATTTAATTAAATCACAATAATTTAATTAATTTTAAAAATAATAAAAAAAATTTTATATTATGTATTTATTTATTTATATTATATTTATTATTTATATTATATATACATATTAATTTTTAATTTTGACTAAATATTAATTTTTTTTAATAATTTTTATTTAAAATAAAATTTAAATTATTATATTTTATATATATTTATATATGTTACATTAATTAATTAATTAGGAATATTGAATAATATATATTAAATATTAATTTTTTATAATTTATAAATTATTTATTTAATTATTTAAATTTATTAATAGATAGATAGATAGATAGATAGATATGTTTATTTGTATATAATATATAAATATTGTTACAAAGGATTCAGTCTACGCCATTATACACTTTATTCGTTTATAATAAACGATCGAATCTTCAGCGCATTACCCACATATTGATATAGGTTATTCATTTGTTCCATTTCCTCCACACACAGAATATTTTGTAAAGACTGAGTCTCATTCAAAGCAGGATCACGAATTATATATTTTTTTAAAAATTTATTTCTGCTAGCCTTGTAAATCGGGCAATAGAGTAGAAAATGTTCGAGTGTTTCTAACTCATTAAGATTGCATAATGTGCATATTTCTAATGTATTAATTATATAATGATTTCCTTGATAAGTTATTTTTATTCTCTTTTCATTTGCCACTCTTAGTTGTCCGATTAATCTAATTTTATGAATTGAAATTCTAAAAGTTAAATATTTTTCAGTTGAATTAAGTTGGCTTATATGTCTATAAGTGGAGTTATATTTGGAGTTTATGCATTTTTCTATTATTAAACTTTTCAAATTATTTTCCCAAGAATTTAAGACCATTTGACAAACTTTTTGCAAATTAATATTTAGATTTTGATCATCCCACAGATTAGAAAGCCCAACTTGTTCAAAAAGCATCCTGATTTGCGAGACCCAGTTATACTGTAAGCCTAATTTATTTTCCTTGTCAAGTTCAAGCAATTTGTTATAGCATTTTTTAGGTAGCCTATCGTTAGACATTTTTAAAATACGACTCCACCAAAGCAACGCGCGCTTAATTACTTGAAGCCTAATTGGGCGAGAGCCCGTTTCTAACAACACAAAACTAGTTGGTGTATTTTTTGGCCAATGATATAACATTTTTAAAAATTTTGTCTGAACAGTTTCAATTTTATCTAAATATCTCAGCGCCCACAGTTCCGAATCATACAGTGTTACAGAGTTAACAGTTGAATCAAATAGAGTTCTTACAGTTTCATGAGATTCGTTTTTAGATTTATAAAGCAAATTTCTTAATTTTCCCGAAGCTGCAATTCCTCTACATGTAAAATAAT